AATTCACTACAAGTCTCTGTTTAGTGAATTAAATGCTCTTGTCATTCAGTGTTAAAATTCAATTCAATATGTTACCATGGCGATGGCAAAGATAAACAGTTATTTGTCACACTACCCCAGAGATTCCTATATATCAATATATATAGAGTTAAACAGCAAAGTGCATTATGGGAAACTGTGTTCACCAGCATGTGGTTCAACGATCACTGATACAGTATTCAAACACGGCCAACCACAAACAGCACGGTCCTGGCTACACTATCATGGGTAATGTGCATGCTAATGTCTGTGACAAGTGGAGAATGTCAGTGCCTCATTCCTGTCTAGCTTTGTAGTACAGCTTACCACTCCAGTATAACATTGCTCCAGAGTTACCATTTACATGTAATTCACGTAGTGGGGTTGGTAGTCAGAGTGAAAATATTTCATTATTATTATTTAAATTACATCTTGAATAAGCAAGCATTTTTCTCTATTACTAAAACCATTAGATACCGGTCACAGCAGAGGTCTAACTATCCAAACTTATATGGAAAGCCCATGAAATTAAGGGCCAAGCAGTGTATTACCATGCTTCTCTCTTGGCTCCAGGATAGGTTAACAGGTGCAATAGTGATTACTGGTCACCAAACAGTGGGAACACACCACATGAGATCAGGGCTGGTTTAATGCTAAATTATGCTTTCTAGTTCAGCGTCTAGACCTAGCCCATCACATAATTATCCAACATTCCAAACGGCAACCGCGACACAATGGCTTCATGGTGTGCAGTAATTGGATACATCATTCAGATAAAATCCAAATATTATTGGTTTAGACCAAACTACTTAAAACCATATTCTAAATACCTGTCCACTTTCCCTGCCAACCTCCTGGGACAGAGAGAAGGGGTGTAGAGGGTGGATCCACCTGTCAAAGAGGGCAAGTTTACTCATCAAAGGGTCAGGTCTGCCCATCTGTCAAGGCCCACCTGTAAAGAGTGTGGCCAGGCTGACTGACCAACTTCCCCTTCAAGCAGACCAAACACAGAGCCTTGTTAAAGCGCTCTGTGCATGGTCCTAGCACCCAGTCCCCCCTCCTGCATTTTGAAATCTGATTTCAAAATGTGGGACAGGTTTCCGGGATCTATATTTGCTGGGACAGTACCCCAAATGCAGGACTTTCCTGGCATATTCAGACTGGTGCCACCTATGTATCCTATGGTGTCATGACACACTGTGATGGGCTTTACTGTTGCAGAAGATGAAGAGCCTTGTCATAACCATAAGAAGATAAAGAAAATGAACACTCATGCAGGAAAGAAAGCAGAACAAAAAGATTTTTGTCGTAAAAACAGATGGCTTTTTCTATAGAGATATCTATACAAACAAGCTGCTTTTTTTTAGAATTCAGCAGACCCTCCTCTTCTATTCAAGCACAGGAAGAATACAATGTGTGTAATTGTTCTGTTTCTGTCATTACAAAACTTCAGTTGATATTTTTGTCTCACATATTGTAAAATATATAATCTCCTTACTATGGCATTCAAAAGGGTCACCCAATTACAGTACAGAAATAGTGGTATACATATTCACCCTGGCATGCAACTTTGCTCCTTGTGTCCCAGTGTCACATTAAGTACTGTTATGTTACATAATTACCTAGTCATCTCTCTGCCGCCAGTATTTAACCCATGTGATTTGATTGCAGGTTACAATGCAGCTTAAAGGGACACTATAGTCACCTGAAAAACTTTAGCTTAATGAAGCAGTTTTGGTGTATAGAACATGCCCCTGCAGCCTCACTGCTCAATCCTCTGCCATTTAGGAGTTAAATCCCTTTGTTTATGATTCCTAGTCACACCTCCCTGCATGTGACTTGCACAGCCTTCCATAAATACTTCCTGTAAAGAGAGCCCTATTTAGGCTTTCTTTATTGCAAGTTCTGTTTAATTAAGATTTTCTTATCCCCTGCTAAGTTAATAGCTTGCTAGACCCTGCAAGAGCCTCCTGTATGTGATTAAAGTTCAATTTAGAGATTGAGATACAATTATTTAAGGTAAATTACGTCTGTTTGAAAGGGAAACCATTTTTATTTTTCATGCAGGCTCTGTCAATCATAGCCAGGGGAGGTGTGGCTAGGGCTGCATAAACAGAAACAAAGTGATTTAACTCCTAAATGACAGTGAATTGAGCAGTGAAATTGCAGGGGAATGATCTATACACTAAAACTGCTTTATTTAGCTAAGGTGACTATAGTGTTCCTTTAAATTCAATGTCATCTTACGAATAAAAAATCCACAACGGAATCCAAACGCTTTGCAGGGCAACCTCTGAAAATGCCATATGTCAATAGACCCTGGATTTAGATGTCCCCATTATCTCTCCTATCCTTGCATCCAATTATATAATTTAAAAGAGCTCTCTACAGTTGAAGCCCTTTTTCCTGTGTGAAGGCCCCATGATTTTGCTCCATTTACAGAATAACAAGTATTTCACGAAATGAAAAAAAAGAAAAAAAATGATAGAGAAAAAACAATTACAACAACTTTTGATCACAGATATTTAAGTTTGCAATGCCCCAATGTGTAATCTTATAGTTTGTATAGATAGTCCTAGATATTTGGGACTGAATGAGTTTGATATTTTACGCCGGAGTCTAATGTGAAACCCAAGACCTATAAGTAGTGATGGTTAATGGCATGCCCCATTCCTTGGAAAAATAATATATATTTTTTTCAGCCTACCCCCCATGTTCCGCAGCATGCCATACCTCGGGGAAGATTCTGAAGTAGAATTTCTAGTTTTATCCCATCTCACTGTATGCGCTCATTCCACTAAATACACTAGCATGCTGGCTATCTATTACGTACATCACCTGGAGCTCTCCAGCAGAACACAAGCTTATTTTTAGCCTGATGCTCAGATTATGCAAACTAAATTCAGGAGAGGATGGAAGACTTTGACTAACTGCTTTTATGTAAGTAGCACAGTAGGTATAATTGTGTCTATTTGCAATCAGCACAGTGCTGTGAATCCTTCCATGATCTCATCTACAAATTAATTACTGAGTGCTTACTTTTAAATTATTTGTGTTGTGCTCCAAACATAACCATGTCTCAGTGGGATCTTGTCACAGGAGACTGACAACACTCCAAAGCATGCAGAGAAGAATTGGCATTGTCCACTAATGTATGCGCAATGTAATATAATTAGAATGATTATATATAGATATATAGTGTACTGTCTATTTATAGTGGTGACCACATATGATACATTCATATTTACAAAGCACCAGCATTGCCATGCAATGAATACAGAAGATATATCAGATCATAGTGACCAATAAATTAAAGGTCAACATTTAATATTATTTTAGTGCTATCGATACTTAGCCCTAAGCAAAAAGTCAAACTGAACTTGAATAAATAAATGATAAAAAAAAAAAATAGAAATATATATATATTTTTTTTTTAAAAAGACCTATAAAACCTTCTTGGGCCCACTGGGTCAGAATCCAGAATACATGCTATTGCAAAGGGTCGCAATAGTTAGAACAGGCATTGCATATTCATCAGGCTGCAGGCAGTTGTCCATAATAAACTGATCCGTAAAACAACCCTACCTTCCTCGGTGCAATGGGGAACCCACCAACTCTGAGAAAAGTCTTCTAAAGGTATTTTGCTAATTTAATTTTTTTATATGTATATTATGTCACAGTTTAAGAAAAAAAATGTATTAAAAAGATTGTACAGCAAATCCTGATGTCAATCATTGATTATGGGGAATTTAGTACATGCACCTGCACTGCAAATAATAAACTCAACACATTGTATAACTTGTTCTGCCGATTTGTGCTACAATGTAATTACAGGACCCACCATTGTGAAATGTTAAAAGAACTAAACTGGCTGTCGCTGGAATCCAGACGCACCCTTCATCTTTCCAGCCTTGTGTTTAAGAGCTTTTCTGGGAAGCTCCCACCCTACCTGAGCAGAATGCTCTCATGGCTGTTCCCACCTCCTATAACCTTCAATCCAGTACCAGCACTTTATTTAGTCTACCTTAACCCCTTAAGGACGGAGCCAAATGTACACAGTGTGAACGAAACAAAATGTAAACAAAACCTGGCATTTGCGCTACATGTCTGTCCAACCGTAATACACCTCTTTCATAGTAAATGCACCCACCCTTATTATATATCATTTTATTCAGGGGAAACAGGGCTTTCATTTAATATCAAATATTTAGCTATGAAACATAATTTAATATGAAAAAAATGGGAGAAAATAAGATTTTTTTTGATTTTTTAGTTCTACATGACATTTTAACTGTCAATGTCATAATACTGTTTGCTTTTACTGCAATAAAATACACATTTGTATTCAGCAAAGTCTCACGTGTAAAACAGTACCCCCTATGTACAGGTTTTATGGCGTTTTGGGAAGTTACAGGGTCAAATATAGCACGTTACATTTGAAATTGAAATTCGCCAGATTGGTTACGTTGCCTTTGAGACTGTATAGTAGCCCGAGGAATGAAATTTACACCCATAATGGCATACCATTTGCAATAGTAGACAACCCAAGGTATTGCAAATGGGGTATGTCCAGTCTTTTTTAGTAGCCATTTGGTCACAAACACTGGCCAAAGTTAGCGTTAGTATCTGTTTGTGTGAAAAATGCAAAAAAACGCCAATTTTGGCCAGTGTTTGTGACTAAGTGGCTACTAAAAAAGACTGGACATACCCTGTTTGCAATACCTTGGGTTGTCTACTATTGCAAATGGTATGCCATCATAGGGGTAATTTTCATTCTTGGGCTACCATAGGGTCTCAAAGGCAACCTAACCAATCTGGCGAATTTTAATGTGAAAAAATGAAACACAAGCCTTATATTTGACGCTGTAACTTTTGAAAACACCATAAAACCTGTACATGAGGGGTACTGTTGTACTCGGGAGACTTCGCTGAACACAATTATTTGTGTTTCAAAACAGTAAAAAGTATTGCAGCAATAATATCATCCATGTAAGTGCTGTTTGTGCGTGAAAAATGCAAAAAACTTCACTTTTACTGGCGATATCATTGTTGTAATACATTTTACTGTTTTGAAACACTAATATTTGTGTTCAGCGAAGTCTCCCGAGTAAAACAGTTTACAGGTTTTATGGTGTCTTGGAAAGTTATAGGGTTAAATATAGTGCTAGCAAATTAAATTCCCTATACTTTCGGCATGGGTTGTCAGGCAGGTCCGCTAATTGTAATTAATTAGGATACCTAATTATGTAAAAATATTACATAAATATATGTGTAGAATTAATATATGTATATATATACATATGTGTATATATACATATATATATATATATAATTTTTTAAAATATTTTTATTTATATATAGGTGTATATATTTAGTGATATATATGTATATATTTATGTATATATATATATATTATTTCATTCTACGTGTATTTTGATATAAATATATATATATTAATATCACAATACAGTTAGAACGAAATAACAAACATCTATATATTTTTTTATTATTTATTTTTAATTATTTTTTTAATTTTATTTTTTTACGTATTTACATTTTTTATATTATATATAAATATATATATATAACAATAATTATATATATATATATATATATATATTTAATCAGTATTAGTCTACGTGTAATTTGATAGTAATATATATATAAATAATTATATATATTAATATTTAAATACACTTCGTGTATGTGTAAATGTGTGTGTGTCTGTGTATATATATATATATATATACTTAGATCATATATATATATATATATAATATATATGATCTAAGTATATTTTATATTTAACTGTAATTTTTTTTTTTTTTACTAATATTTTATTTATTTTTACAGGACAAGGGGCAGAGACAGTGTCAGCCAGTGATTTTACATCACTGGCTGACACACAGGATCAGTGATCACAGTGACTGCCTGTCACTGTGATCACCTCCTGCAGATTGGGTAATTGGGCACAGGGTGGAGTGCCTGGGTG